TTGTCATAATTTGCTTCTATATATATATATATATATATATATATATATATATATATATATATATATATATATATATATATATATATACACACACACACAGTATATATACTGTATGTCTATAGACAGAAGTATATATATATATATATATATATATATATATATATATATATATATATATATATATATATACACTTTGTCAGGAGTAAACAAATCATGTCTCGTCATGTCATGTGAAATAATTGTATTTAATTTATAAAATTGATTTTTATTTTTACTACTTACTCACTTATGACAATAACAACAACCAGTAAGATTTGCTGGAGGAAAAAAGAACCAATGACTCGGGGCCTCAAGGATTTCACTGTATTTCAAACCATTTATTTATTTATTTATTTTTTTATTCCTTTTTTTTCATTATTATTTTTTTATTATTGGCATATACAATATATTACAGCACAGACATTATAGACCCATTTGTACATTTAGACATGAACCTACATAAACATTTAAGCATTTACATTTCGAACAATTTAGAGGCTGCAGGGGTGAGCATGGGCCTAACCGAGCTGGTCTTCAAAACATTACATTCTCTTCACAATTCTTATCTACAGTGATCTGTTTTTTTTTGCATTAGAGCAAAAAATCCTATTGAAGTCATTTTAGTATTGCCCTACATTACAACAGCAGTTGTCAAGGAGTACTTTACAAAGTAATGGATTTGCGAACAACAGGTCGAACATAGAACTTTCAATAATAACAGACACATAGGAGTCATTGGTCCATGCGTCCATAGGGAGCAGAATGACCAAGGTATTAATGTTCATTAATGTCCTGGACCATCTGGTTTTCAGAGGAGCATCTCGGGGCGTAAAAGAGAATATAAAATGACTTGAATTTTGTTTGTCTTTTCTCCGTTAATGAAACTCATATCAGTCGGTGTGTGTGCTCTGAGTGATTGACAAAATAAACACATCGTGCAGCATTACAAAGTAAGAGGAAATGTTCTATAATTCTATAATTTCATCTCTTTGTGTGCTTTTGTTTGTTTAACTGTGATTTGACATGAGAAACATTTCTTTTGATGTGGAAAATTCCATCCTCCTTGTTTCTAACGATGCTTGTTTGTGAAGAAAGGTTGACAAATATTAATAATCTTCTGCAATTTCTTCGGACAAAGGCAGAAATAGTGTTTTTTTACACTTTCTTTACCAATGAATCATCATTTCCATTGTGCGTTGTCCAGCCTGGCCTTTCCAGTATGGACCTGATGGTGAATTGATTTGTCATTTGTTAGGACTATAGAGGCTCTGATGTGGACAGTGACAGAGTGTAGCTGAGAGTGACTCTGTCATTATGGCATCAGCAACAGAGTGAGACCAAAGGGCGGGGGGCAGTTGGTTATCTCCCTTTGGGCCTGTGCTCGACCCTCCTGAGTTTAAACGTCCACCTCGGGCTCATCTTGTATGTTGTGCTGCAATTCAGATAGGAAAGATTGGACTTTACTCTTGCAGTGGGTATGTAAGCATGTACAGTTTATTTATATTGCGCCTTTTACAGACTAGGATCAAAAGTGCTTCACAATTAAAAAACATACAGAGATAAGATAAGATAAGATACGATAGACTTTATTGATCTCACACTGGAGAAATTTACCTGTCACATTTGGCACAGATAGAATCACTCAGATTGTGCAAAAGACCCAAGTGTGAAAACATGTTAAAGGTTAAAAATATAGTGTGTGCAGGATATAAATATTAACAATAAAACAGTGGCAATAAAGAAAAGAGTGGCAATTTTCAGTCCTAGTGCATCAGTGACTTAAAGTGACTTATTGAACAGTCTGACAGCGCTGGGGATAAAGACCCTCCGGCAACGTTCCTTCTTGCACTGTGGGTCTCTGTCTTCCACTGAAGGAGCTCTACAAAATATAGTATACATACAAGTCAGTTCTAATAACAAATATACAGAATAGTGAGCACACTTCAGACGAGTGTATGTATGGTGAGGCGAGAAAACCTGCCTAAACAAATAAGTCTTAAGTTGGGACTTGAAGTTGTCCACTGGCTCTAACTGAGACTGGGGAACCTCATTCTAAAGGCGAGGAGTAACTGCCTGAAGGATCTGTCTCCTCTGGTTTTAAAGCGAACTCGTGCGGGGGACCATCAACAGGGACTGAGTGGAGGACCTAAGGCTCTCGATACGTTCAGGCGCCTGACCATGAGGAGCCCTGAAAGTCAACACCAGAATGTTAAAATGTATTTATGTGCGACTGGGGTCCTGGGGTCTTCAGCTGTGTCTGGTGCTTAAGGTGGACCTAACCTAAAAATGTACCTTTCCCTTGTAGTTTACACACCGAGCTGTTTTGAGTGATTCATGCATGTTTGAATTACATTATTATTATATGTGCACCACCATTGCCTTCCCCTCAGTCCTCTCACTGCTGACACTTAGCCCCTCGCCTTGGTTTGACTTACTTTCATTGACAATTTTCTGTCCTGAATCCGTAATGTGGGGAGATTTTCACATCTCACGTCCATTTTTGTTTTAAGACAATATATAAAACAGTATTTGAACTTTGTCTGTGTTTCTGTTTTCTCTCACATGTTTAGTAAACTTATCTATTGATGCAGAATGTAAACATAGCAACAAACTGCCTGAACATTGTTGTGATATCCATGATTTTCTGCAGAGAATACAACTATTGCTTGTGTTGCAGTTTATTTCTTTTGATCATGCTGTTACTGTGTTCTATCTCACATGAGCACAGAAACATATGCTCATAAATATGTATTAATAGAATTTGCACATCCCATGCTTTTTTTCTCTACATTTTCAAGCTCTACATAACATTTGACTTGTGCAACATGAAAATAATGGCTTGTTTTTCTCTCAACAACAGAATATGTTTTGTGTAGAAAGGAAGGATGTGTGTGACCTGCAATGCATTTTAGTTTTAAACAAAACTAAAATGCATTGCAGGTCACAGCCTCCCTAGCGTTGAAACTGTCAGCACACAAGGACAAAACCTAATATTTCTAGTGCCATTATCATCCCTGGGCCAACTACACACACAGCTGCAGAAAAAGTTTCATTTGATTTGCTTACCTGGTATCATTTCAACCAGGCATGTCCAAACTATAGACTGAAATTATAAACAGGCGTTTGCACGACCATCTCTGCCGTTGAAACTAATGTGCCACCACTTTTGCCTTCTGTGGGCTGTTTCAGAATGGCCGCGGGGCAAGAAACGTGAAAAAACACATTTACACAAGCGTTAGCCCAATTAGCCTAATTCGTTTAATGAGTGCAGTCAAAAGTCCAAAAGTTTTTGTTTGTATCACAAAATGCCGTTTATAACGGATAAACGTTTGTCATTCAGCCAACTACAGCTCTGTCAAACGTGTTTCAACATGGACATGATGTCATTCCTCATTTTAAGGCTCAAAACAGTCCTAATCTAGTTAAAACAGTTTTGAAATCCTGCTTGTTAGTTCAGGACAAGTCTGATTATGAGGCCCTCCTTCTAAAAATATTAAACTGATTCAAACATTACATTTTTTGATTATAGCGCTGCATTCAAGAGAAAGCGTTCATTGTGACTTCCAGAGCAGAACATGCAGCTGAACACAGAGTATTTAGTTTATTTATTATTCTTATTAAAGCTCTTGATATTGATACCACTATTACTCTGTAGATTGCATCACCTGTTCAATCTGACATAAAATACATGATTTTACATTTACTTGGTTTTAGAGATGTTTTTGAAGAAAAAATCTGATTAAAATTGTTGATTTGCTTTACAGCATCAGCAAGGTGTTTGTTTTTATTCGTTTTCCCGTCTCAGATCATTTTGGAAAGAGATTCTGTTATAAATTGTCCGTAGTTATATGTACTTACCACGTCTTTAATTTCAGAATTTCTATACAACTTTATTTGTGGAATTGATGCTTTACTACACCACAAAAGAGTAAAACACTGCATCTTGAAAATATGCCTGGAACAGTGATTCCACATCTCTTCTTCTTCCCCGTGTGTGAATGACTAAAGCAGCAGCCGAATAATGTTTTCCTCAATATCTCTGTGTTCAGTCTTTAGGGAACATTTATTATGCAGAAATGTCAATAAATATCAGAACAAGACCAACATTTTTTTATTTGTGTGTGCATCTGAGACACTTACTAAATAATTATTGAGACTCTGCACCCACTGACACACGTCAAAATGAGGTCAGAAACTTTCATGGTTACAAAGAGGTTGATAGTTTTTTTAATATCTTGCTTTTGTTATTGTATAGAATAAATAATACTTTTGTTTGTGTTTGTAGTGCATTTTGTAGTTTGTATTGTCCTGTCTAATGTACAGTATAAAGTATATAAAATAATGCTCTTCTGTATGGTTTGCAACTGCATTGAGTACAAGTGTGTGTACATGTTATTTGAATACATGTGAGCTACGATTATGCTACGTCATATCTGATCTCATCACACATTTCTAAAATGAGAAAATTGGAAAAATATAAACAAAGACATTTTTGAATTTACCTAATTTCATTTACCTCTTTTATACATTTTGGAGATGTACTAATTCAGCTATTTAGTTTGTCAAAATCCATTCTGAGTAGAAATCATTATTTTGGCATTAACTTTATCTAAATGTGATTGACATACACCATTCATTATTATTCCAATTTCAATTATTTTTCAGTTTTTGAATGATCAAAAATCAAAGTTAGCAGAATGCATCGAACATTTAGTATTCAGTGATTCAAATGACCATGATAACTTTTCATCTCTTTTTGAATGAAAACAGTCTTTTTATCCTTCATCAATGTTTCCAATTTTGAAGTGTCACACAAACCAATTAGCACCAAGCTAGTGTGGTAAAAAAACACGCAATGCTCTAGTGCTGCACCCTCGCCAAATAAGAAGATTAAAATGTCTATTGTGTTTATAATTGCTCTGCTCCGGTGAAAATGTCGATATTCCTCTCACTTCTTACAGACGAAATCGGGGATTGCTTTGCTCTACAATGCGGAGACCAACAATACCTACGACGTCTGCCTGAAATTGACCAAAGAGGCTTTAACCATTCAGCGGCTGGATGTGGTGTGCACCCACGGCGGCGAATCCCAAGTCAATGTAAGACGCTTTGTAACAAAATATTAACTTATTTTTTCCAATATTCACCATTTTGCCAATGAGAAACTCTCCCCCTTTCTAAAGCACAGAGCTGTTGTACTCCGAAGACAGGCGGCTGGCGGGCTCGGCTTAAGCATCAAAGTAAGAAGTTTTGATTTTCCACCCATGCCTTTTCTTCTGCTTCATCCATTACCGAGTCGTGGGGTCGGCAGTCTGAGCAGAGATGCCCAGACCTCCCTATCCACGCACTCGTCCTCCAGAGACATAGTCCCTCCAATATGTCCCGGGTCTTCCCTCATCACCCAAAGCTCATGACCATAGGAGGGTGTGAAAGTAGATTTAGCTGTAAATCCAGAGCTTTGCCTTTGGACTCAGCTCCCTCTTCACCACAACGGTCCGATACAGCAATCGCATCACTGCACGTGCTGCACCTCACGCTCCATCCTTCCTTCACTCATGGACAAGACCCCGAGATACTTGAACTACTGCCACAACAGTAGTAGTAGTAGTAGTAGTAGTCGTTGTTAAGATAAGATAAGATAGATAGACTTTTTTGATCTCACACAGGAGAAATGTACATGTCACATCTGGTGTGGAAAGAAACACTCAAGAGGAAATACAAAAATGTGCAAAGAAAGAAGTGTGCGAACATGTAAAATGGGATATATTATGTACATTAAAAGTATCAATTAAGAATCAGAATAATCAGAATCCGATCAGAATCATGTTTATTGCTACGTAAGTAACAGGAGGTCACAGACTTGGAAATTGCTTTGGCTCGGTGCAACAGTCAGAAAGAGAGAATAAAAAATAAAGAATAAAAAACACTTCTAAGGAATACATTTAAAATTAAAATTAAAATAGAGTTACAATTACTATATACAATATACAATGTAAGGAAAGTAAAAACAAAAGAAACAGAGACCACCGAAAAGCCGAAAAGAAACCGTGGCAGTTGTTGTTTTGTATTTGAGTAGATTTACAATGTATACATATAGAATTCAAGAAACAAAGCTCAAAAGGAGAAGGCAGAAGCAAAAAGCGTATTAGGTGCCTTTCACATTATCAATACTTCATTTAAGCGACTGCAAAAAGATTCAAATGTTTACAGTGAGAGGCTTGTCCCCAGACCCAAAGAAGGGGGGATGCAACTCTCTCCTTCCCTGGGGATAACTCCAACAGCCTCCCGCCTCTCCCTGTCACAAAGGTCAGAAAAGTACCTGGCTGGCCAATGCTTTGCAAGCTCACGGTCTGTGACTTTAAAGTGTTCATGGTGGGTCTTGGACTGCGCTTTTCATAATCAGTTTTGAGGATGATTAATGAAACATCTTTGCAACGCACCAATGCAAGTTGTTGGAAGCGGAGGACAGAGAAATGGAATTGCATCTTAACGTTGTCTGTTGTTTTTTTTGTGTTTCAGGGTGGTGCAGAACACAACGTGCCGGTGGTGATCTCCAAGATTTTTAAAGATCAAGTTGGTAAGAGGTTTTTCTTGTTATGGAGATGTTGTGGACCACATTGGTCTCAAACTCGATGTGCAAAAACAATTGAGCAAATGGATTTTGACCAAATACATTTCCATCCATCCATTTTCTTCCACTTTATTCGTTGCTTGGTCAGTGGGGCAGCAGCAGAGACACACACACACACATGCACACGCACACGCACACACACACACACACAGCGTGAACCATCTCAACTGGCTCCTCTCGGTGTTGAGAAGCAGCAGCACCCTATCTCTCAGGGAGCGCCCAGCCACTCTGCAGAGAAAACTTATTTGACTGCTTGAATGTGCGATCTCGTTCTTTCAGTCTTTACCCAAAGCTCACAACCATAAGTATAGTTATCATTTGTTTCATATATTTCTATGACCAGACTAAGTGCTGCTTCGATAGAAATCAAAATCTGGATGATTTTTAATTAGGCCCGAGCCCCGAACAGGGTAAGGGCCTATTGCTTTCACAATGGTGAAAACAAATGGTGGCGGTGCGTGACGGACGCGTCAGCGCCCGTCACTCACCAAAACGTGACGGTTGCGTGCGTAAACTCAAAAGCTTTAAAATGATGAATCACATGCCATTGAAACCTATATTGTTTTTGCTCGAGACAAGTCACAAAAAATTCCTTTTTTATTTATTTATTTATTAGGCCCGAGCCCCGAACGGGGTAAGGGCCTATTGCTTTCACAATGGTGAAAACAAATGGTGGCGGTGCGTGACGGACGCGTCAGCGCCCGTCACTCACCAAAACGTGACGGTTGCGTGCGTAAACTCAAAAGCTTTAAAATGATGTATCAGGTGCCATTGAAACCTATATTGTTTTTGCTCGAGACGTTAACAAAAAAATTCCTTAAACGTGACGGTTGCGTGCGTAAACTCAAAAGCTTTAAAATGATGTATCAGGTGCCATTGAAACCTATATTGTTTTTGCTCGAGACGTTAACAAAAAAATTCCTTTTTTATTTATTTATTAGGCCCGAGCCCCGAACGGGGTAAGGGCCTATTGCTTTCACAATGGTGAAAACAAATGGTGGCGGTGCGTGACGGACGCGTCAGCGCCCGTCACTCACCAAAACGTGACGGTTGCGTGCGTAAACTCAAACGCTTTAAAATGATGAATCACATGCCATTGAAACCTATATTGTTTTTGCTCGAGACAAGTCACAAAAAATTCCTTTTTTATTAGGCCCGAGCCCCGAACGGGGTAAGGGCCTATTGCTTTCACAATGGTGAAAACAAATGGTGGCGGTGCGTGACGGACGCGTCAGCGCCCGTCACTCACCAAAACGTGACGGTTGCGTGCGTAAACTCAAAAGCTTTAAAATGATGTATCACGTGCCATTGAAACCTATATTGTTTTTGCTCGAGACGTCGAAAAAAAAATTCCTTTTTTATTAGGCCCGAGCCCCGAACGGGGTAAGGGCCTATTGCTTTCACAATGGTGAAAACAAATGGTGGCGGTGCGTGACGGACGCGTCAGCGCCCGTCACTCACCAAAACGTGACGGTTGCGTGCGTAAACTCAAAAGCTTTAAAATGATGTATCACGTGCCATTGAAACCTATATTGTTTTTGCTCGAGACGTCGAAAAAAAAATTCCTTTTTTATTTATTTATTAGGCCCGAGCCCCGAACGGGGTAAGGGCCTATTGCTTTCACAATGGTGAAAACAAATGGTGGCGGTGCGTGACGGACGCGTCAGCGCCCGTCACTCACCAAAATGTGACGGTTGCGTGCGTAAACTCAAAAGCTTTAAAATGATGTATCACGTGCCATTGAAACCTATATTGTTTTTGCTCGAGACGTTAACAAAAAAATTCCTTTTTTATTTATTTATTTATTAGGCCCGAGCCCCGAACGGGGTAAGGGCCTATTGCTTTCACAATGGTGAAAACAAATGGTGGCGGTGCGTGACGGACGCGTCAGCGCCCGTCACTCACCAAAATGTGACGGTTGCGTGCGTAAACTCAAAAGCTTTAAAATGATGTATCACGTGCCATTGAAACCTATATTGTTTTTGCTCGAGACGTTAACAAAAAAATTCCTTTTTTATTAGGCCCGAGCCCCGAACGGGGTAAGGGCCTATTGCTTTCACAATGGTGAAAACAAATGGTGGCGGTGCGTGACGGACGCGTCAGCGCCCGTCACTCACCAAAACGTGACGGTTGCGTGCGTAAACTCGAACACTTTAAAATGATGTATCACGTGCCATTGAAACCTATATTGTTTTTGCTCGAGACGTCGAAAAAAAAATTCCTTTTTTATTTCTTTCTTTCTTTTTTCTTCTGCACTTTGAGCCTTAATTTGACCCCCTGAACATGCATGAAAAGTTGTTAAATTTTGCCCAAAAATCAGACCTGGCGAAAAATTTGATATTTTGGTGTTTATTTTTATGGGACTCAAAAAATGCCAGAACAGCGCCACCTACAACAGCCAAAATAATACCCCTATGGGAGTTCTGAGGATCAAGTTTGTTGTAGAGTCATGAAATTCGGTACACATGTTCCGCAAGTCAAGACAAGAAAAAAATATTATTATGGCTCCGCCCTCTGACAAACAGGAAGCCCATAAATTTCACTGCAAAATGGAAAAATGAACAGCAAAAGTATTCATACATGTCGGTTGGAAAGCGACTCCTCCTCGGCCGTTTCACCGATTCGCCTCAAAATCGCTCCACATCATCTCAACACATGTACCTTCAAAATGACCTCAGGGATTTTTGATCAGTGAAACATTGTTTGAGCAGCGGAGCGGCAAAATGTGACCTTTTTTGGCCGTTTTTGACAACATTAAATTTGCTCCCGTTTGCACAAACAAAGTCTGATTTGCAAAAAACATTAATACATTGTTCAACTCTAGGGTCTAGGTCGTTTTAAAGTGAATTAATTCAAATTGACACATTAGCGCCCCCTACAGACTATTTCAAAGTTTTAGATGGGCATTTTCAAATTTAGTTTTTTCAAAATGTTTGAAATTTTGCACATAAATCTGTTTTGCCCTCTTGATTCAAAAAGTCAATTGGGTCCAAGGTTTATTTTTTACCCTGTTGCCGTGGCGACGAGAAACGCTCCCCATTCATTGCAAATGTACACCTCACACAAACATCAAACCAGCCTCGGCTGTTTCACCGATTCGCCTCAAAATCGCTCCACATCATCTCAACACATGTACCTTCAAAATGACTTCAGGGAATTTTGATCCGTGAAACGCTGTTTGAGCAGCGGAGCGGCAAAATGTAAGGGTTTTTTTGGCTCTTTTTGACAACATTAATTTTGCTCCTGTTTGCACAAACAAAGTCTGATTTGCACAAAACTTTCATCCATTGTTCAATTCCAGGGTTTAGGTCAGGTTAAAGTGAAATATTGGAAATCGGCCCCTTAGCGCCCCCTACAGACTGTGTCAAAGTTTACATGGGGAGCCAAACCAGCTCTACTTATCATATTCATTACAATTTGACTAACATTCTTCTATGGCTACGGAAACAAATCATCACACGGCGGTGCTACCTCCTTTTAGCGGTGCTGCGTGGTACGGTGTGGTGCGGCGTAGTGCGGGGCGTTGTGGAGCGGCGCGTTGCGGCTTGGTGCGGGGCGGCGTGGTGCGGGGAGTGCGCGCGGTGCAGGGAGTTGCGCGGTGCGGCGAGGGCCGTTCGACGCCGCTTGCGGCTTTAATTTATTTATTTCTTCTCGAGAGATGTCAAATTCTGCACTTTGAGCCTTAATTTCACCCCCTGAACATGCATGAAAAGTTGTAAAATTTTGACCAAACATCAGACCTGGTGAAAAATTTGATATTTTGGTGTTTATTTTTATGGGACTCAAAAAATGCCAGAACAGCGCCACCTACAACAGCCAATGGGAGTTTCAGAGGTCAAGTTTGTCGTAGAGCCATGAAATTCGGTACACATGTTCCTCAAGTCAAGATACGACCGAAATGTTATCATGGCTCCGCCCTCTGACAAACAGGAGGCCCATAAATTTCACTGCAAAATGGAAAAATGAACAGCAAAAGTTTTCATACATGTCGGTTGGAAAGCGACTCCTCCTCGGCCGTTTCACCGATTCGCCTCAAAATCGCTCCACATCATCTCAACACATGTACCATCAAAATGACCTCAGGGATTTTTGATCAGTGAAACGTTGTTTGAGCAGCGGAGCGGCAAAATGTGAGTGTTTATTGGCCGTTTTTCACAACCTTCTATTTGCTCCCGTTTACACATACAAATTCCGATTTGCACAAAACTTGAATCCATGGTTCAACTCTAGGGTCTAGGTCATTTGAAAGTGAAATAATTGAACTTGGCTCATTAACGCCCCCTACAGACTATTTCAGAGTTTTTAGTATGAAAAACTCTGAAAACTTTGACTCCATCTGTAGGGGCACTAATGAGCCAAGTTCTTTTATTTCACTTTTAATTGACCTAGACCCTAGAGTTAAACAATGTATTAAAGTTTTGTGCAAATCAGACTTTGTATGTGCAAACGGGAGCAAATTTAATATTGTCCAAAACGGCCAAAAAAAGGTCACAATTTGCAGCTCCCCTGTTTGAACAACGTTTCACTGATGAAAAATCGCCGAAGTCATTTTCAAGGTACATGTGTTGAGATGATGTGGAGCGATTTTGAGGCGAATCGGTGAAACGGCCGAGGAGGAGTCGCTTTCCAACCGACATGTATGAAAATGATTGCTGTTCATTTTTCCATTTTGCAGTGAAATTTATGGGCTTCCTGTATGTCAGAGGGCGGGGCCATAATAACATTTTTTTCATGTCTTGACTTGAGGAACATGTGTACCGAATTTCATGGCTCTACGACAAACTTGACCTCCGAAAAATCCCATGGGGGTTATTATTAGGCCCGAGCCCCGAACGGGGAAAGGGCCTATTGTTTTTGCTCGAGAGATGTCAAATTCTGCACTTTGAGCCTTAATTTCACCCCCTGAACATGCATGAAAAGTTGTAAAATTTTGCCCAAACATCAGACCTGGTGAAAAATTTGATATTTTGGTGTTTATTTTTATGGGACTCAAAAAATGCCAGAACAGCGCCACCTACAACAGCCAATGGGAGTTTCAGAGGTCAAGTTTGTCGTAGAGCCATGAAATTTGGTACACATGTTCCTCAAGTCAAGATACGACCGAAATGTTATCATGGCTCCGCCCTCTGACAAACAGGAGGCCCATAAATTTCACTGCAAAATGGAAAAATGAACAGCAAAAGTTTTCATACATGTCGGTTGGAAAGCGACTCCTCCTCGGCCGTTTCACCGATTGGCCTCCATATCACTCCACATTGTCTAAACACATGTACCATCAAAATGACCTCAGGGATTTTTGATCAGTGAAACGTTGTTTGAGCAGCGGAGCGGCAAAATGTGACCTTTTT